ATGAAGAGCTGTGGTGATGTTTTAGGATTCTACAAAGAAAGAAATAATTAGATAACATCTGAATTAGACTCTATAGTTTAAAGCACTTTCACTCACATTATATCATTTAATTCCTATAACAATCCTATCAAACAAGTAGGGTTATTACATTCTTTCACAGATGAGGAAATCAAGGCCCAGAGAAGGGAAGAGATTTGCTAGTAAGTGACAGAACATGGACTAGAGCCTGGGTTTTCTGACTCCTAGTCTAGAGCTGATCCTTCACAGCCCAAAGAACCATCTTTGAGAGTTGATAGAGAGAGGAAGTTGCCAGGAACAAGAGGCTGAAGCAGAAGCAGAGGGAAAATTTTTGCTACAGATACTGAGAGTGAGACCATAACAGCAGGATGTCAAAATCATCCAGGTCAGGCCAATCTAGGAATTCCAGGATATAATTTCTCTTCTCCAATTGAGAGGATACAGGTATGGCCAGGGCTCAACACTGATATACCAAGAACTAACTTGGGTTTTAGGATAAATTTCAAAAAATAAGGATGGCCAAAGACACATGGTTAAAGGTGGCCAGAAAAGCTGTGTCACTGCTCTTTACTACCCAGAAGTCATACTGCATTTAATGTTGCCAGAATATTCTCTTGTAAATCTATTGCAAAGCTAGGCCTTCATGTTATCCCCAAAGGTATGGAAAAACCTTCAGTGGAAGGACTAGAAACAGAGCAAGGCCTTCTGGTAAGATGTTCTGTTTATTTTGACATGGTATTACTTACAGGACTCTAGAAAATCAAAGCTAAGTTTAACACTAAAAAGGCAGTGGGGAGAATCTCAAGACCAGAAAAAAAGCTGCAAGCTAACTCTGGAAGGCTTGCCAAGAAGCTAAGTGTCCCACGTGTCCCAAGCACTTCCATTATTAGGAGAGCTAATTCCTTGCTCTTTAGCACTCCTCATGCTTTCTCATTCTCATGTATTTTCCCTCTGTCTGGAGGCTTCAGGGGAGAATCCATTTCTCTGCCTTCTTCAACATCTAGAGGCCACCTGTCTTCCTTGGTTTGTGACCCCTTCACTGTAACACTTCAACCTCCTGGATCCGTCGTCACATCTCCTGCTTTTTACCCTGATCTTCCTGCCTCCCTCTTAGAAGCACCCCTGTGATTACACTGCCTATCTGGATGATCCAGGATAATCTCCCCATCTCCAGATCTTTAATTTGATCACATCTGCAAAGTCCCCATTACCATGTAAAGTAACATACTTCCAGGGGTTATGACCTGGACATTTTTTGGAGGCTGTAATACACCTATCACAATGAGTAACGAGCATATGAGGGTTTGCTCTATTCTACTTTTAAATGTTTGAATAAAAATCTACAAAAGAAAATACTTCTTTGACCCCAAGACCCCAGTTACTACAAGAATTTGGAATTTATACTCCTTTACATAGTACAGATAGAAAAGAGACATGGCCTGAGGAATTTTTTCTGTGGTTCTTATTTCCACTTCCTCATCTCCCATTCTCTTTAATCCACTCTGGTTGGGTTTTTAACACTCACCTAATCAAAGCCACAAACCACCTCCAAATTGCCAAATCACCTGTCCTCATCCAATTTGAAGTATTTGACACAACTCACCACTCCCTTCTTCCCATAACATTTTCACTTCTAGGCTTATACTCTCCTGGTTTTACCTCTGTCTTCAACACCCATTCCTCTTTCGCATGATCTTAAGTGTGGGAAGGCCCCAGGCCCCGTATCTCTTTTCTATCTACACTCTCCCTAGGTGATCGTATAGTCATGGGCTCCAAATATCAACTCTATACTGTAGAACCCCAACTTTATATCTTCAGTCCTGATCACTCCCCTGAGCTTGATTCATGTGTCCAACTGCCTATTTGTGCATCTCATTAGGCCTCTCAAACTTGTCTAAAACAGAAGTCTTGATTTCCCCACCCACCCCAAACCTATTCCTCTCCTTCATTTTACCATCCATTCAGTTCCTCAGGCAAAACCTTAGGAAGGAGTCACCTTTGATTTTACTCCCTCTGTTCCTTTACTCCCTGACACCAAATGCATCAACATGACCTATCAGCTCGACCTCCAAATTAGCCCCTGTATCCAACTTCTCATCATCACTACGATCGCTACTATCTAGGCCTAGCTGCCATCATCTCTCACTTGGACTTCTTTAATGTTCCTGATTGGACCTCCCTGCTCTACTCTTGCCCCCACTGTGATCCATGCCCTACACATTGGGCCCATAGGGCAGCAAAGGTTCACTCTTCAAAAGAGGAATCAGATGACATGTGATTTATGCTTTTTGTTACACTGAAGTAAAATTCAAATTCTATGACCCACAAGGCCTAGATGATCTGCCACTTGTCTCTCTCCTAAACTCATCTTTTATGACTTCTTCACTATGCACAAGCCACCTGGCTTTCACTCTTTTTCTTCTTTCTGTCCCTAGAATGTGTCAAGCATTTCTCATCTCAGGCTTTGCACTGGTTCCTTCCTTTCCTCAGACCCAGATGTTTGCATGACTAGCTCCTTCTTGTCATACTTCTCAGCTCAACGTCTCTTCCTCAGAGAGGCCTTCTGCAACCCCCTAAATTAATTAAAAACCGAACTCTCCCCATCCCCGTCCCCCAGTATCTCATTACCAGCTCTACTTTATCACTATGTGAACTTAGCTTGCTGACTTACTGTCCTGTTTATTTACATGTCTGTCTCACCTCCCTTGAATGGAAGCTCCTTGAAGGCATACACCATCTTTTGTCTTGTTCAGTGATGAATCCCCAACACTTGGCACAGGTTAAATGTTCAATGGATACTTTTTCAAATGAATGGCTCAGCGTTTTTTGGAATAAATGTATGAAAAGAAAATTTGGCTTAATGTCAGATTATTACGTAATTCTAACAAACTAAAAGATTCTGATTCAGTAAATATGGGTGGTGTACAGGAATTTTCATTTTAACAAATACCCCAGGAGACTCTGGGGCAGGGGTCCACAGACCATACTTCTGAGTAACACCGATTTATTCATTCTTGCAAGCATTATGTAGGTAGGTGGCCTACTTTTAAAGAGGTAAATTGAGTGTTAGCAGAACTGAGTCACTTGCCCAAAGTTCATAATGAGTCAGAAAGTGAATTCTAAGAAGAAACAAGAAATTCTAATTACAAATAAAAAAAAGTTAATCTTACATGTAAGTTAAACACACACACACACACACACACACAGATTACCTCATCTATTTTATACTAGTCATAATTTCTTGACCATCATTTGTTTCAATCATTAAAACAAAGTCTAGACTTTCATAACTCCATCTGAATGATTACAATGAATTGTTCGGATCAAACAAGAAATATTTGCTTAAAGGACTCACCAGCAGAGGAAAATGAGAACCTTGAAAGAAAAAAAGGATTAAAGAAAATGAAATCTTAGCTTCAAAAGTATACTGTGTTTATAAAAGAGAAGTAATCATAAGTTGCTTTGAAGGAAGATTTACCCTCCAAAATGATCAGAACAGGTGGGATGTTTGAAGAGTAATCAGATGCCACTTTCTGACATAGCATTGCACCACAGCAACAAGGGGGTGGTGATAGTGGGGGGTGATCAAATTAGATTCAGGTTTGACTAACAATATATGCTAAGTTTGACAAGTAAGGCTGCCTCTACTAGGAATTTGGCAAGCTGTGCTTCTGTTCACCCAAACGACATTTTAAAGCTCAACCCTACTTCCACAACAAAAAACAATCTGCACTGAATCTGCTTTTTCATCGGAGAAATTTCAAAAATCAGAACTTTTGAGATGATCCTGGGCAACAGGCCACACTTACAGAGTAGCACCTTGACTAGCTCTGAATAGCAAATAGAACACATATCAGATCCAAGATCTACTTTTATTAAAATCCTGGTTAAACTCCAGAGCATTTCCAGATGTCAAATCTACCACAACGATGTTCTCAATTCCTCGAGGCATTCTCTCCCTTCCTTCTACTTGCCAGTAAGTCTTGCTTTAAGCTCACCTTTTATGGATGGAATATGGTGTAGCGCAGCACTGTTCAACAGAAATATAATGCAAATCACAAATGCAAGCCATGTAAATATTGTAGTAGCCACATCAGAAAAATAAAAACAGATGAAATTAATATTTTAACCCCCAAATTACCATTTTAACATGTAATCCTTAAAAATGGAGATTTTTTCATTCATACTTTTGGCCTCTGATATCTGATATCCAGTATGCATTTTATAGCACATCTCAATTTGGACTAGCCACATTTCATGTGTTCAGGGGCCACATGTGAGTAGGGGCCACGGTACTGGACAATGAAGGTCTAGAGCCTTGCTACTCCAAGTGTAGCCCACAAATTAGAAGCGCTAGCATCATCTGGAAACCTGTCAGAAATGTTCAATGTCAAGCCCAACTCCAGATTTACTGAATCAGAATCTACAGTTCAAAAAGATGCCCAGGGGACTTCCCTGGGGGTCCAGTGGTTAAGACTCCTCACTTCCAATGAAGGGGGCGTGGGTTCGATCCCTGGTTGGGGAACTAAGATCCCACATGCCACGCAGCGTGGCCAAAAAAAAAAAAAAAAAAATCCCCAGGTGATCTGCATGCACAATAAAGCTTGAGAAGCACTGGTCTAAGGTGAGTCATTGGTCTCAGGTTCTTCATCTGATAAATGGAGGTGATAATCCTTACTTGGCAGGATTATTGCGAAGATTCTTGGTGGTTTACTTAATAGACCTAGTATTTGAGATTTTAATGAATGGTAACTACTATTTAAGAAGGCCATGTAATAGAGTGGGCTTTACAGCTGGACAGAAAGAAATATAAATTCTGGTTCTTACAAGCTCTGGACCTCAAACAACTCACTTAACCTGAGACTGGGCCAAACTGGAGTAGTAACAGATGACGCTAAGCTGCCTTGTTAGTTCACATGGCCTTCGTCCCAAACCAAAGTGTTACTTCCTGTGGCTCCAGTCTATTTTTCACAAGGAGAACCTAAGGACAGCAAAAACGTTTATTTGAAAAAATTACTATGTATTGAAAATATACATTAGAAATTATTACATACTTCCATAGCATTCCCCTCCCCCACCACAAAAGTAGAAATATCCGCTTGCTATGCTAATGCCATAGGTAAATTCAAACAAAAAGGAAAACATCATCAGCCCCCTTTCCTCGTACATTAGAGTTGGAGGGAAAAATGGTTAACTTATATCCGCCAATCAATAGGAATTTAACAAGTCCCAGTCTTCCACAGCAAGACACACATATTTCTGCTTTGAAGACTGTGAAGAGTTGCTCTGTTCCTTCTCTGGCTCCTCAAAAGCTCTCTTCTTGCTCTTCTTTGACTCCTGGCTTGAGAGGGCTTCGTGTTTCAACAGTGGTCCATGGCAATCTGGGGCTTTCTCTTTATAGAACTGGAGCTTCTCAGAAGAATTCATGTGGGCATCTGCCAGGTGACACTTCACTGGGGCTTCTGTTCGAGCCCGCTTCCCATCTGTAAGGGTGACAAACGGAAGGGCAATGAGCTTTCCTATGCTGCTGCTAACGGCTGCCTAAGTCCAGAAAGGTGATCCAAGGGAAGTGATAAGAGGCCCAAACAGGGTGAGGTTTGGATTAATTTTATTCCCTTTTGAGTGCCCTGTAAAGTAACTTACAGCAAATGCACCAGCACAGGTTGAAGGTATGTACTCACATGAGAGTATCACAGATTTGGATTCAAATCTCAGATCTGCCACTTCCTGGATAAATGACCTTGAGCAAGTGACTTGTCTGAGATTCAGTTTTCTCATCTTTAGAGGGATATAAAACCTACTTCATAAGGGTGATGTGAAGATAAAGTAACATAAGGTGCTTGGCACAATAGTAAAAGCTCAAAAAAACGTCACCTATTATTACTCAAAATCTGGACTTGACTCTGTCTTCTAAAAACAGCCAAGTTTGCGGCACAACTCTAGCAAATGATACAACCTTATCCTATATTTTTTGGTTTGCCCTGAAATTTTCTTATTTTTCTACCTTTATTTTTCCTTCACTTCGATTTCACCCTTTAACTCCTTACAGAAAAAAGTACGGTAAAATACACATAACATAAATTTAGCATTTTAACCATTTTTAAGTGTATAGTTCTGTGGCATTAAGTACATTCACATTGTTGTGCAAACATCACCACCATCCATCTCCAGTACTTTTTCAGCTCGGCGAAACTAAAACTTGGTACCTATTAAATAGTAACTCCCTACCACTCCTCACCTCAGTCCCCAGCAACCACCATTCTACTTTCTGTCTCTATGAACTTGACCACTCTAGGAATCTCATAAGAAGACTCATACAACATTCGTCTTTTTGACTGGCTTATTTCACTTAGCAGAATGTCTCTAAATTTCAGCCATGTTATAGCATGTGTTAAAATTTCCTTCCTCCTTAAGGCTGAATAATATTCCATTGTATGTAAATACTACATTTTGTTTATCCATTCATCTGTCAATGGACACTTGTGTTGCTTGTCCCTTTTGGCTACACTTTTAATTCCTTTTTAATGTTCTGTATCCATCTACTTTTGTACCACTGCAAATTTTTTCTGGAACGAGATGGGATGTCAATAAGCACATATGTACATACATACATACATTTAATAAGTTATTTTCCTGGTGCTGGTACTCAAAGCTAAGTGTGAACTTACACTGTAAGCTGTGTTGACAGAATACAAGTCTCAGTGATCTAATTAAGTCAATACTATCATAATTAATTTTCCCACTGAGTGAAGATGAGCTAAGTGCTTTAAGGGCAAATAACCTAAGGGCAAAACACTCCGGAGGAAAGGGAATTTCTCACAGAAATGCTGAGCTGCTGTTCCAGGCTCCGAGGTTTCTCGTGGCTTCACAGCTTCCGAAGTCACACGCTCCCACTGCAGAACAATCTAAAATGTATTTGGAAAGATTTGAATCCAAACAAAATCTCAAGCTTTTAATCTCAAGCTTTCCTTGTTCCCCACCCCTCTCTTTCCATAAACACAAACCCCCATGGTAATCTTACTTCAGATGATGGTGATAAGAAAAAGAACCAAGTCAAGTCTGGATTATCTGTTTTAAGGCACGAGTTGGTCAGAATACAAACATGCTGGATATACATATTTGCATGACTCAGAAAAAATCTACAAAGCTGACTCCCTATTTTCATCTCTATTCCAATTTAAAAATAAACTGCATATCCTTAAACTAAATACTAAAATTTAAAACCTTAGTCATAATACTTTTCACACATTCCTAGACTCACTTTCATGCCTTAAACTATACCAACTATAACTCACTCTTGTACGTGTGTGAAAGGATCATGTTTCCATATTCTCATGACACTTCATGATCAGTTTCCATTTTTTTAAACTGCTACAAATGTATTTTTATTACAAGCTACTATAAATTCTTTTGAAAATTTGGTTTAGTATAAACTACACATAAATAAACAATTATTTCACATATAGCACAACTAGCAAGAACTTTAAATTCAACACTTCTCATGGTATGCAATGAAATGATCATAAAAGAAAGTCAAGACAAACATTTGCAGGTCACAGAGGCAGCACAACACATAGTTTAAGAATATTGTTCCAGAGTTAGTTCCACCACTTACTAGCCAGGGGACCCTTGGCAAGTGATTTAATTTCTGTCTTTCAATTTCTTCATCTGTAAAATCGGGATTAATAATAGTACATAGCCCACTGGGCGGTTGTGAGGATTAAATGAGATAACATACATGAAGGGTTTAGCAGTGTCTGGAATATAGGAAGCACTCAATAAATCTTAGTTGTCAGTCCCTCTATGATACCTCCCTGAGCATGGAAAATGGGGACAGATCTAAAAGAATGCTAAGATGAACTGAATCTGGTGGCTCAGGGGACAATAAGGAAAACTGTGCTTCTACTAACAGAAATAAGAATGTCAATTAGGAAGAGCTGTTTGGGGATGGGGAAGAGGAAGACAAGCCTGGCTCTGGACCAGCTGAATTTGAGGTGCCTGGCAGAGACTTATGGAGAATATTCAGGAACAGGTCTAATGTGTAAGAGAAGGTGATATCATTCCCGCAGGGACAGTAAAGGCTCTGAGAACAGTTCAGATCACCAGGAAAGTGGGTGGAGATAGAAGAGAAGAGGAGACGAGGAAATGAGGAATCAGCAAGAGCTAAAGGGAGAAGCAAGCGAGAAAGTTAGGGGATACTGAGCGGGAAGGCCAGAGAGAAAAAGCATAAGGCATGTATGTTTATATCAGAACTGCAGAAAAGCCAAGGAAGGTGAAGAATGAGATCACATGCCACCTTCAAGATGACACCTGCAGCAGAGCCGTGGGGGCCAGAACTAGCTTACAAGGGATTAAGAACTGAGTAGGCAGTGAGGAGGTGGGGAGATAAGAAAAGAAAACAACTCACAATCGCAATGGGGGATGAAGAGCATGTGAGAATAGAAGTAACATGTTTATACACATAAAGAAAATGGCCAGCAGAGAGCAAGACTGAAGATGTAGTGGTGGGGCAGTAGAGGGAAATAATTATTAGTAAAATATCAGAGTAAGCTGGAGATCTCAGGGAACAGAACTGAAAGGAAAAGAAGCCACTAAAGGGCTTATCACTGGAATAAAGAGGCATACCTGTTCCCTTAGATAGGAGGGAAGTGGGGTATGTTGCAGAATTGTAGAAATTTTGAGACAGAGGGAAGTAAAGGAACTCCTGTTAGGTGGCCTCATTTTTCTGTGTCACCTGCTGAGAATGAGGCAGGAGGAGGATGGAGTCAGCCTGAAACAGTTTCAATAAGGATCAACAAAAGATAGACAAAGCACTGCTGCCAAGTCCTAGGGCCCAGCTGAGATTGCATGGTGCTTTCAGTCCAGGCTGTTAGGTATTTTACTTCACCCTTAGCTCTGCAAGAAAGGTCCTGGTTTCTGCATTTTACAGATAAATAAACAGAGACTCAAAGTTGCCTTAAGTCATATGCCTATTGGGTTGCTGAGCCAGGATCCCAAACTCAGGCCTCTGACCCTACAGCCTATGCTCTTTCCACCATGTCACCTGCTACCATGACCAAACTACATCAAGCCCTTGTAAGACCATCCCACACCTACCCCAAGCCTACTGGATGTATCTAGGATTCTTCCAGCACTATAAACTTTCTCTGGCAATGAACTGTTGTAATTATTTCAGCATGCATTTTCACAAACTTCAAAGTGCTTCTGAAACACTGATTCACCAGCACCCCTTCTTGCTTACTTATAGGGAGGTGATGCTACAATCAGGTGGTTGGATAGGTCCACAACCATGCATTATTGCTTGGAGCCAAGGAGGGATCCAGATCAAAAAGTTTGGTGGGTCCTCTAGGTCTCCACCACTAAACATTGGTTTAAAGTATCTGAAGGAGAAATGCACCAGCCACAGGGAGGCTGTGGCATCTACTGGTGCTCTACTACTTGGTTACCTTCTGACTCTCTACTTAAGTCTGTACTTTACCAACCTAAGGAAGACCATCAAAAAGACAAGAGAGCATCAAAGTTCAGCTAAGAAGCTGAAAATGGAAGGGCTCACTCTGCTCAAACTAGCATGGTCTGATCTGGAAATATGGCCTCAATATGTGTCACCAGTGTTTCTGCCACTACTCGGAGGATATCAGCTTCATTGAGTTGGACTAAGTGAACTTCCTTGAATGGTTCATCCAGGACATCTACCTTTCCAAACAGTCCTAGTTCTTTGCACATAAAATAAAATTTTTTAAACTTCAAAAAGAAAGAAAGTAAATGGGAGAGCTCAGGATAAAAAAAGATGTTTCTTCACTAAGGCTCTAAGAGTTAAGAAATTTGCCCCCCAAAAGGGAAAG